TTTTAAATTTTTTGCCAGTTTTTGATCTCGGAAAATCTTGAGTTTAGGTGCAAGACCTAAAACTTCGCTTTTACTACTTGATGATAACAATCGGACTACAAGACTCAAAGTATCTGGAAGTTTGCAGGCATTACAGGTGTGTGCTTATGAGCTCTGAAATTTAGAGTTTGTGTGTGCGGGTAAGGTTTTTCGAGGTCCACAGCAACTCATAACTTGCTTCTGTCCTTTCGTACTTCTTTTCTTTGTCAGCAGTATCTTTTTTCCCACTGAGAACAGTTTCTATTTTTTTTCTTTTTGACTCCCGTTGATTCTAACACTACTTTCTTGTCTAATATCTGGATATTTTAGAGCCATTTTCGACACTCCGAAGATTTCTGCAGACACAGATAAGTCTCGAATGGTTAGTTTCTCCACGCATTTCATGGAAATAATCTTGCAGATCCATGCTTAGGTACTCAAATGTGCTGTGATGTATTGCTTACTTGCTCCGCACAGTAACGAGCAATGGGATTTGCTGAATCGCATAGCGATCATGAGAGAACTAGAGCTTGTACCTGAGTACAAGGTAAGTCACTTTACTCTTAAGTTTTACTTTTGCTAGTTCTGCATCTCTTTTAGTCCCTCGTGGAATTGTTCATCAATCAAGAACTGATCTCGTGGCAGAACATAATTGTACGACATTATGAAAAAACATTGAAGAAAATTCCGGGAACTGGGGTAAGCTTGTAACACAAGTCATATGGAACTTGTAAAAATGACCATGTCAACAGATTTTCGAAGGCAAAGATGGAGAAAAGCGATGGAAAGATTTACACATGAGAGTTGGGGAGCATGTGAGTCCTGGTTTTTTCTGGTCTCCTATTCGGGTATCTTTTCCTTTGGAAAAAACTTGTTGTAGAATATGCGTATGATCTCGAAATACTACACGCAAATTACATTTGATCGATTAGCCGAGCTACTGGATTTCCCTCTGAACGTAAGTTAATCAAAGATTGTTCTCTTTCTTTTTTCTCGCTTGATTCCATGGTTACGATCTGTACCTCAGTAGAAGTTTCATGTTGGTGACATCAAGTAAATTGTAACAATTTCAAAGATCCTTGCTACAACTTTCTACTTCTGCCATATTTTTTATGCAAAACTTGATTTTGAAGCATCCGTTTCTTTGCCAGCTGGCACCTCAACTGGCACCTCTTTTCACGTAGGCCTCAATAGCATGAGGCATATGCACTGAGTCACTTTTTCATATATAGCGCTTATTTTTGTGTTTTAGGACATGGAGGCGTTCCTTTGCAATCTCATTGTGACGGGTGGAATAACAGATGCAAAAATCCACCGCCCATCTCGTGTTGTTAATCTCAGAGCACGAAAGGCTAATTTGGAACAGTTGGATCAGTGGGCCAGCAACGTCCATAAACTCACCGAGACGTTGAACAAGGTATTCTTTGCGGATAAGCTAGGTGATGTCTGGGTTCATTGGGTACATCTGAACTCTGTGATGCTTTGGTGGTTTTATAGCACATTTCAAGCTTATCAAGAGATAAAATAACCTTACCACTCTTTTTGCGTTGCGAGCAGTTCATGAAGATGCTAAAAGTGGTTATCGCGCAGAAAAACTCGTAAAACGACAGTGCTCATTTGGGTGATGCTATTTTGGGGCAGATGGTCAATGCTGACAGATTTTGATCAGTGAAAGAATGCAAGGATGGAGCAGGG